AGAGGAGTGGAGAGGAGAGGAGAGGAGGGGCCATCTGTGGTTTGTCTTGGTTGTTCTTTATGGCAACATTATATAATGAGTAAATACTCTCTTCCAGGGAGCCGAGGAAATGCAGCAGGGGCAGGTGAGCTGGGCAGGGGAGTTGCCACTCAGCACCATCACACTGCTGTGGAAACAGCCCCGAGGATTGGGGGAAATCACAGCGGGAAAATACAAACATTGACAGTTTTATCAAAGTCTCACAGGGCCACGAAGGGGAGTTGCCACTCAGCACCATCACACTGCTGTGGACTGGGGGAAATCACAGCGGGAAAATACAAAAATTGACAGTTTTATCAAAGTCTCACAGGGCCACGGATTTATTCATAGCACATTCAGAGATGTTCGGGGGTGGGGGGAATTATTTTAGGTAATTCCAACTTGCCTGATCTACACCACCCACAAAGGGTAAAGTAAGAAAATAAGTAGACTCAATCCAATTCTGGAATTTTCGTCTGATGCAATAACTGCAACAGCTTTCAGGTGAATTGCCCAGTCCCTCGGGCTTCTCCTCACTGCTCCTCCCTTTAAGATGACAGTGAATTGGCAGTTACTAAATAGTCCCGGGGATGTAAACAAAGCTCAGCATAGGGAACATAGTCAATAACATTGTAATAACTATGTAGGGTGTCAGGGGGTACTAGACTTATCAGGGGGATCACTCCATAAGTTATATAAATGGCTAACCACTATGCTGTACACCTGAATTAATATAATATGGAATGTCAACAGTAATTGGGGGGAAAAGTATTAAATAATCAATTGACTGTAAAAAAAAAAAGATAGCAGTTGAGTATATTAGGAAAGGGGAAACTCTAGGACTTTAGAACACCCAGCTGAAAGGCTTCCCACAACCCTTGGTCCCCTCTGGCACCTCTGATCTCCCTGGAATACTCATCTTTGTGGTCGCTAGCTGTCTGCAATGTAAGTCTTTGGTCCACCTCTCTCACTGCACAGCAGTCCCCGCTGGCTCATCTACATTCTCACTGGTGCTCAGGGCCTCCTGGAGTCTCTTCCGGATTGCCCTCACCTGCTCCCTGACTTTGCTGGTCTACTTCACAGCCCCTCACCACCTCGTGAGATGTCTGTGTCCTCTCCTTGGCCACATACCTCACAGTAACCAAGAGTGACCCTGGAAAGCCAAATTCCAACCCTCCCTCGGCTCAGCTCACTGTGCAGCTACTAGGTTGACTTTGATATGGCTGCCTCCCAAATTGGGGAGGGGAAACCATAAAGTGAATTATATCTTTCTACCTCCCTGCCAAGTGATGACGTTGGATTAAATGTTCCATGAGATCCTTACATCTCCATTCCCTCTTCCCTGCTTCCTCTGAGACACACTCAGGCCTCACTCTGGAGACTCTCCAATTCTGGGAGGTCCTGGGGTAGATGACTTTGCCCCCTCATCATTTCTATGTCAAAGGACATCCAGAGGTCAGCCTGAAGGTCTAGTCCATAAGTAAAGGGCACTGTGTGAATCCAGGAACCAATACTGTTATACCCATTTGTTTCATGTTAGACCAGTGGTTCTCAACCTTCCTAACGCTGTGACCCTTTAATACTGTTCCTCATGTTGTGGTGACCCCCAATTTCATTGTTACAAATTGAACATAATTAAAGCATAGTGATTAATCACAAAAACAATATGTAATTACATATATGTTTTCTGATGGTCTTAGGCGACCCCTGTGAAAGGGTCATTCGACCCCCAAAGGGGTCTCGACCCACAGGTTGAGAACCACTGTGTTAGACTATTGCTAGGAACAGAAGTGTGGGAGTGGTCAGGGTGTCGCCAGCTAGAGGAGGGCTTGCATTCTAGTTAATCCATTTACCCTTAGAGGCAAGCCCAGAAATCCCTCCTTTCTTTGCCAACTCGCCAGCCAGCCGTGATCTCTGTGCCACTTAGAAAATCCAGTTTCCTCCTTATAGAAAAGTCTAGTGGCAGCGATTTTAGGTAGCAGGAACTTCAGTCGTGAGCTCTCTGAGTCTACACACATGATTGAAAATGCTACATGAAGACCTGTATTCCTCTTCCCTTTCAGCACCCCCTTCTCCTAGAATAGCCTTCACCACCTCCTGTTCTACTGAGACCAATTTTATAAAAGAAGAGGTTGTGTAATTGTGCTCCTGGAAGGAATGACATATTTTATTAGCAAATAATTCACTTTCTGAGACTTTCACCTCTAAATTTGAAAATGAGGCTCATAAGAGGCTGAAAGGCTATCTCTATGAAGTGGATCCCCATCTGACCAAAAAGATCTGTGCATCGGAATGCAAATTGCTGTTGACTTTAGATTTATTTAAGTTTACCAAAAAGCTCCAGTCCAGAGAGCTCTTTCTCTGTTCATCCATATATTAAATCTTTTAAAATATTTTAAAATCTTATGAGAGCAGTAGAATTTGAAGGTTCTTTGAATGACCAGTAAAAGATTTTGGGGTAGAAAACATCTATAGTAGTTTGCTGGGGCTGCCATAGCAAAGAACCACAGGCTGGTGGCTTAGACCACAGAAATTTATGTTCTTTCAGTTCCGGAGGCTGGAAATCTGAGATCAACAGTCTCATTTGGCTTGTAAATAGCCAATGTCTCCCTCTTTCTGCATGTGGTTGTTCCTGTGTGCATGCATGTATTTTCTCTCTCTCTCTCTCTCTCTCTCTCTCTCTCTTTCTCCCTCCCCCCTTCCCTCCTCCTCTTATATGGACACAAGATCTATGGAATTAGGGCCACTCTAATAACTTCATTTTAACTTAATTATCTCTTTAAAGACCTTGTCTCCAAATATGAGTTGGGGCTTTAACATATGAACTTTGGGTAGACACAATTCATCTCATAACAACACCTCAATTTGGATGAGATTATAGGAAGAGAACAACAGGACAAAGGCAGCACGGGAGTAGGGTGGTTTTTGTTTGTTTTTTTTGTTTTTCTTTTCTTTTCTTTTTTTCTTAAAAAGAAGCAGAGAGAATGAGCTATGGATGGAAATTATGAAGTTCAGTGCATTAATGCCTGCAAATCTACCCCAAACCATTATCATGCTGACCTCACCTACATGCATGCTCTCCATTCTCACTGACAGCCTCTCACCCAGCTTCCTTGCGTGCCTGGCCTCCCAATTGCCTTTGTGGTGATGCCTAGCCTCACTCAGTGCTTCATAGCGATTTCTAGACGAGGACTCCCAAGGGCAGGGAAGAAATGAAAGTGGCTTGCTGGAAACATAAGATTTCTTTTACATCATTTTCAACTCATATATGTTGAAAATTTTATTTCATAAAATAGCCATGTTTGTAAAATGTAAAAAAAAATTAATAATAGATCAATTATAATTAATTAATGCAAATAATGTTTAAATTACCTGGCATCAGGTAAAACTGTCACTCTAGGAAGATGGGCCAAGTTTATTTAGCATCTTCATATACCTCCTGACAGACAAACTTACATCCCTGGGTAACACATACCACAGTTAAAGAAACACCATCTAGACATTCATAATAACTCAGGGAGAGGAAGGCAGCAGAACAGCAAACAGAAGCTGCAGAACAATGAAGAACAATGCTGGCCAACCATTTGGAGAGTTATAGCAGCTGCTGCTTCTTTCACCCAGTTTCACTGCTTGGGACTAACTTTTCCCTGATCCGTAGGAGAGTATGTAAGAAGACTCTGCACATCATCTGTTTTAGTAAACCACCAAGATAAACATGCTGACCTGCCTTTGCTAACTCAGAGCTAAGCAATCCTTTCTTTGAATCATTTCTTTCCTTTATCCCATCATTTCACAACTCTCTTGCTTGTGAAATTTATTCAAAGGGTAGGTGTACTTAAAGACAAAGTAAGCCATAGCTGGTGTGGCTCAGTGGATAGAGCATTAGCCTGCGGACTTAAGGGTCCCGGGTTCGATTCTGGTGAAGGGCACATGCCCGGGGTTGTGGGCTTGATCCCCAGTAGGGCGCATGTAGGAGGCTGCCAATCGATGATTCTTTCTCATCATTGATGTTTCTATCTCTCTCCCTCCCTTCCTCTCTGAAATCAATAAAAATTATATATTAAAAAAAATTAAATAAATTAAAAAAGTAAAACCTTAGTTCTGAACATGATCCTTTAATGTTTAAGTTTCAACCCTTCCATTAAAATGTCTGGCATTCATCATCTACTAATTTTTCCCAGCAATTACCAGGTTAGTGTTATGTCATATAAAGTGCTGGGTGGTTCTGATTATATGGATCCACGTGTTTTAGTAGAAGAGCTAGTTTTATTGTGATGTTCAGTGTCACTTTTCCTGATCTGGGACTCTTATCTCCCTGGGGCATTACTCTTCTACCCCGTTCTCTCTTCCTGTGGCATTTGCTCAAAGTATCTCTCTGATAATGACCTCATCCCCTTGAAGAGAAGCTTGGAGAACAATAATAATAATAATAAATCATTTTAATTTTGTAGAATGCAAATCAAATTCTTGAATAAAGTTCTGATTAAAATAATAAATATTTTAAAGTATTAAGATAATAAATATTTTTTAAATATTCAGCCGTTTATAAACTTAATTCCTTGAGAGTATCCCTCCAACAAAGAAAGAAAAGGAAAATAAAAAAAGATACCCAGGCCTGATGGCTCAGTGGCTGAGTGTCGACCTATGAGCCAGGAGGTCATGGTTGATTCTTTGTCAGGGCACATGCCCGGGTAGCTTGATCCCCATTGCGGGGCGAGCAGGAGACAGCCAATCAATGATTCTCTCTCATCATTGATGTTTCTATCTCTCTCCCTCCCTTCCTCTCTGAAATCAATAAAAATTATATATTAAAAAAAATTAAATAAATTAAAAAAGTAAAACCTTAGTTCTGAACATGATCCTTTAATGTTTAAGTTTCAACCCTTCCATTAAAATGTCTGGCATTCATCATCTACTAATTTTTCCCAGCAATTACCAGGTTAGTGTTATGTCATATAAAGTGCTGGGTGGTTCTGATTATATGGATCCACGTGTTTTAGTAGAAGAGCTAGTTTTATTGTGATGTTCAGTGTCACTTTTCCTGATCTGGGACTCTTATCTCCCTGGGGCATTACTCTTCTACCCCGTTCTCTCTTCCTGTGGCATTTGCTCAAAGTATCTCTCTGATAATGACCTCATCCCCTTGAAGAGAAGCTTGGAGAACAATAATAATAATAATAAATCATTTTAATTTTGTAGAATGCAAATCAAATTCTTGAATAAAGTTCTGATTAAAATAATAAATATTTTAAAGTATTAAGATAATAAATATTTTTTAAATATTCAGCCGTTTATAAACTTAATTCCTTGAGAGTATCCCTCCAACAAAGAAAGAAAAGGAAAATAAAAAAAGATACCCAGGCCTGATGGCTCAGTGGCTGAGTGTCGACCTATGAGCCAGGAGGTCATGGTTGATTCTTTGTCAGGGCACATGCCCGGGTAGCTTGATCCCCATTGCGGGGCGAGCAGGAGACAGCCAATCAATGATTCTCTCTCATCATTGATGTTTCTATCTCTCTCTAAAAAAAATAAAGATACCCAGTAGACCAAGATTTTTTTATTGAATTAAATAGCATTTGAGTGTAAAAAATTCAAACTTGCCAGAATATTATATCATTCCCACTTCATTTTATAAGAGCAAAATTTTTGTTTTCTTTCTTGTATCTAAACTGATCTGAGGAATCTGTGCTGGAATAGTGACTCTCTCCCAGTTTGCCGATCACGCCTCCAGATGATGCCAACTCCCGTTCAGGTGTCTCCAGTGGGTAGGAGTGGAGGAGGAGGGGCAAACAGTCAAGGGTTGAGAGAGAGAGAGGGTGATGAGGGTGGGAGCCGCAGCAGAATTCATTGGGAGAGTTTATGTAATCTTTCTTAAGAAGAATTGTTAAATGGACTAACCTCAGATATATATTTTTTTCCAAACAGAATTGGTCCTGATGGTTTAATCAAGGTGGTTGACTTTACTCAAAACCCAAGGGTTCGGCTGGAGTAAAAGCACAATTTTGGAGATGATTGTGCTTCAGAATAGCTGAACCCCACACACCATCCGATGACCATTTTCTTGTACTACTGGTACACACTAATAAACAATTAGGCCAACATGAAATCTGAAGTGTGTGGAATTAAGACATAAAATTATTGGGACAAAAACACATTAACAGAAGATTAGTATTCTTCCCACATGGATACTAAGTAACAGGGGTTGAGGAAGCATGGATAGAAAATGCATCTCAAATCAAAACCAGACTGTCAGACTTTCAAAGTAGAATGTTAACCAGAGACAGTTTTGCTGTGGTAAGATTGTTAGGCATAATTTAGATGAGTATCTTTTACATGGTCAATCCATGTTTTTACCAGTTTAATTCTCCATCTGTTGGTATGATTCATTCATTCACTCACTCACCAATATTCACTGAGGTGAGCTATATGCCAGGGATAGGATTGCCAGGTAAAATACAGGACACTGGTTAATTTTGATAAACAAATAATATTTTTATTCCCCACCCCTCCCCCCTAAACTTGGAAACCCTAGGCAGGAGCTATGCTGGCTTCTGAGCACATAAAAATAAATCATATCTGGATTCTGCCCTCAAGGAGCTCACAGTTTAACACTCAGACAAGACATGAACTTAAATCACTGCAATGCAAATGGCCCAGAGATCAGTCTTAGTCGATGTCAACAGATTTCTGACACCACATACAGATGAAATGGGACCCTCTTGGGAATACCTCCTGCATGAGTTGAAGAGACCGGCTGACAAGGTCACAGAAAGGTTTTTCTTTTCCCCATGAAACAGATGAGATTAACAGGCCTTGTGGTTATTGTTCTTAAGCCCAGCTGTACCAAGGTTGCTGGGTCCCTTCTAACTGTAATACTATCCCCTCTTAAAAGTTATTTTTGAATAAAAAGCATGTTAGCTTACTTTTTTAAATACATAACTCTCTACTGAATTGGAGAGAAATTAGTGTCCAAATAAATAAAAGAAGATGGTAATGGGGATATCACTGCTTACTTTTTTAAATACATAACTCTCTACTGAATTGGGGAGAAATTAGTGTCCAAATAAATAAAAGAAGATTGTATCACCAGAGGCCCTTGATTTTGAGCTAGAGTAAAACAATAAAAAGAGCTGAAACTTATTCTATAACCACGGTCAACCTGATCCTCCTGCAAGGGCATGGCAACAACTAATCCTCCCTCTGTCTGCCATCTTAGCCAAAGTGGCCCGTCATTCCCACCCTGGGGCTTTTGGCTGTTTGAAAGGGCTGACATACTTCAGGTGAACCTGGCAGTGTAATTAATCAGGATGAGAGAATGAATGAAATCCTTTAACCTGCCTCAGTTTCTCTTTCCTTATGATCAAACATGTGAATGTGGCCCAGCCAGCGTGGCTCAGTGGTTGAGCATTGACCTACAAACCAGGAGGTCACAGTTCGATTACCGGTCAGGGCACATGCCTGGGTTGCAGGTTGTGGGATCGATCCCCAGTAGGGGCATGCAGTAGGCAGCTGATCAATTATTCTCTCTCATCATTGATGTTTCTATTGCTCCCTCTCCCTTCATCTCTGAAATCAATAAAAATGTATTTTTTTAAAAAAAATTAAAGATCATAGTTGCTTGGGAGTGGGGAGTGAAAGGGAGCAAAGGGAACAACCCCAATTTGAAAGGCCCTTAGCAAATTAAGTTCATAAACTTAATAAAAGTAATGTTTCTGGGGCAGTGTTTCCTCTAAGTCAGTGGTTCCCAATTGGGGCACATGCTCCACAGGGGGGCAATCTGATTTTTAAGGGGAGCAACTTAAGAATGAGTTATTAACAGTGATTTTTTTGCATTTCTTATGGTTCTAGGGGCCCCATAT